AATCGGAATTCCTTGCAATAGGTCATTTCCGAATTATAGGTCATTTCCGAATCATTTTCAAAGCGAGTCCTGCTTTACAGACACTATTAGAGATGTTGTCAAGCATCGTGCAAATATTTTTAACTTGGAGCAAAGGACCATGAAAATATTGTATGGACAACCAATTGCAATATTCAATCAAGATTTATCGGGATGTGAAAGGTTCGCCTTTATTCTTATTGTATATAATTTTTAATTTAAAATGTGTTTTTCCCGCTCCTTTTCTCACAACACACACGCCAAACAACTTACATTCCATCACGTACTATGAAAACAACGTCCAAAGTCCAATTTGAATATACCCAATCACTGCACGACATGAAGATAAGGAAATTTTTTTCACGTGCTTGAATTGTATTCTACTAATCAAATTCCATTTTGCCACATTAGACTTCGCTCCACCACATGGCATTTCCTTGTAAACAACATGAATTTCATATAAGACTTCACCCTAACAACATCAACAGGGATAGTGGAATAGAAATTCCAGAAGCATAGATGCCCACGATCAAAAAATACAACAACAGGAGAGCCGTGCGACAGCCGACCGCCGAGGGAGCAAATCACTGAGTGAACAGCAAGGATCGAAATGCACCAATCAGAGCTGTTGAAAACAACCAATCACAGCAGAGCATCATGCTTTATAAGATCGCGCATGACCAGTCGACCTCATGGCCTGAAGAAGACTAGCAGTATGCAGTCGAAACGTCGCGATCTACATCACACGTGACTACATCGTGAGACAAACGAAAAACTTACCTTTTTATTGTTATTCACCACGATGAATAACCACAACCTTTTCCACCAAACCGCATTATCCAACACCACTGAAAAAAAATTCACATGAAATTTTATGCTGCTGATAGTGAATTTTCCACGCATTCTCCCACGTTTTGACTTTTTCTACGAGCAAAATTCGCTTTTAGCTTCCTTGAAATTAACCCAATCGCATGTTAATTCCTTGTTAACAACCTGCATTGTACCACGTATTTCACAAACAGAGGGCAAAGTCCAGACAGAAAACAACCAGTCAGGGAGCCCTCTTTGAAATAATATCGATTTCTCTTCCACAATGTATCTCCCCTCATACGAGGTCGCAATATATCTTTGGCAAGGGCCTAGTGGACATACAACAGTTTCAGTCTGCTTTTCGCAGTAAAATTACGTGGAATTATATTTTTTGAGGTGACTAACTGTAGACGAATGATTTTCATTTTCTTTCTGTCAGAGGAACGTAGTCTCTTTCGCAACCGTTCTATGGTCTCGTCACGTAATAGCTCTCTCTCCAACGGGGAACAGAGGGCGTTTTGTGACGAGGCCAAACTTCGGCTGCAAAAGAGACTACAGTAAGCGTGGCACCAACGCATTTTATTTCTGCCCAGAAGAAGTTAGAAAACAGAGACAATAGACCAAAAAATACCTGTGTGAGTTTAGATCAATTATGTTTACTCTCTTTCTCTTGAAGTGAAGTTATGCGATATATTCGTTCTTTTGAAAGTTGTTAAAACGACCTACCCAACTAAAAAGCTCCGTTCTGGGTCAAATATCAGCAATTGAAGATTCCGCCGAACGCAACTTTTAGTAAGTTATTCATCTAACCGTTGTTACAAATGAAATAAAGTTTAATAACTGGTTTATAAGCCAACGCGCGTGTTTGGGGATATGAAGTGCGCGAGAAGTTTGAAGAGCACGATAGGCGCGGTTGTTTTCTCACAATTTAATACTTTTGAGAAAGACAGCTCAAACTGAAAAAAGGATTGTTAGGCGCAACTGTATTCAGAAATCATAACTTGAAATAAAAATAGAGGAGGACATTTGGTGACCAGAGTTTAAAATAATCGACGCAAGGCAAAATGACAAAGAAACATTTCGAGACAAAAGCTCTATGCGGACAAATACTTACGAGCGAGAAAAGGTAAGAATTTCACCATGTTGCTCACTGGATTTGTTCTCGTTTACCCCGAGTTCAACTTCCTAGCCCTGCTTTGTAATAGCCAACTGGTCTGACTCCGGTTAGTTGGGATTTTTAAGCATTAAATTTATTCACAGTATTTGTTTGTGCTGGCCCTGAAAAGCCCCATTGGAAGAGTGATCAGTTAAAGTTGATTCCACAAACAAGCACAGAGTTGTGTATACCAGTACAGTTCAAAGCAGTCAAAGGCCTTCATGGTCTCATTGGTTAACAAGCCAGGCTGGATACCAGTGAAACTAACACAAAGAGGAGTGAATAGGCATTATGTCAAGTCCATACATTCATTTGTTACTACTGAGGCCCCTTATTTGGTAATGGACATGATCTTCACATCTCCAGCTATGCTTCAATCAGCAAAAAGTCCTACTCAAGTCCTGGATGGACCTACATTCCATCAATCATTGCTTTCAACCCTGGCGGCTTCACCCAGTCGTTCTCAACCGGAAGTTTCTATTTTCAACTTGATGAAGTTGAAGTATTTTACTGAAACATTGAAAGGAAAATAATCTGTTTTAATTAGTGTCTTGGTAAATAAGAAAGGCAATGATGAAGAATCGCATAACTTTAAAGCAGTTTGACTCCGTAATTCAAAATGAATGACGTGGGAAGGGTCCTTGACTGGATAGGGGTCCATCAGGAACTAGCTGGTGATTTGCAACCAAAATTAAATAACAAGTGAATGTGGCAAATTGTAAAGTCATGATGTACAGTATTTCAGTGAAAAAGTCCCTAAGGCTTAGCTTTAACTACTTAAACTGTGAAAAGTGATCTCTCATTCCACCGACGAGGAATTGATTAAGCTGCTTTGCTAATATGACTAGCAAATAATAGTAATATATTTGTTGCATTACAGAATGAGTGAGAGTGAGGATTTGACGCTCCTTCAATCTGTCCGCCAATTTCAAAGGTAGTCTACAATTCACATTCTGATGCTTTTGATTAACTTACGTTTTCAAGCTATTGGATTTATATCTGGATTTCTGGCGCAAGGTATCTAACACTTGGTAGGCAAAAATCTGCGTCTTCGCACCAACATTTTAATCTTGAAAGAAATAATTTATTTGATACAGAAAACATTTTGAGTAATATCTCATCATTGTTTTGCTGCCGCCATTTTCTTAAACATACATTTTCACGGAGAACAAACGACAACCGAAGGATTTCATGAACATTAGAGCATACACTCCTTCAAGAGGAAAACTCTTACGCGATGTCTCTTAAAACCATAAGCCATCTAAATTTGAGATTAGGGTGGAGGGGAAGGGAGACTTAGTGTACTCTTGGGTGGGCTGGACCATTGCTGCCTTGTTGTAGAGAGGGCAGACCCTGGGATCAAATCAGAGAGTTCTCTTGTAGACTTTTCCTCTAGTGTTACGGTCAAGAAAAAGAGAGAAAATATCTTGCCTGCAATTAAAGTTTTGACTTTTGAGAAATTAGATGTTAATCACTTTAGGGGTCAGAGGGTTAATTTCCAAGTTGGTTTAATAGCTAAAAAATAACTTCAACTGGATACGTCCCTTACTGAGTTTTCCTGGTCGAAATCCTTTAGTACTGTGGCAGGCTGGACTGTTTCTTACCTGTGAAAAAACAATAACAAATCCTAAACAAATCTTACTATCCTAAGAATCATGCAGTTATGTGTAAGCTATCTTTGTTAGTTGCCCTCTGGGTCAACATCAAACACAATGAGAAGCCAGTTATCAACCAAAATCGAGCCAGAAGAAAAACAATGATGACTAAGATTAAAAAACCATTCATGGCTTATGGATTTTGGAAAACGTAAGCCGTTAATGTCTTTTGAATAGGAAAAATTTGGAATACATGTTAATCCGCTCTGCTCTTAATTATCTACATTGCCTAAACACGCACATTAAAAATTGCAATTTTAAACTGACCATTGCCAAACCATAATCAAAAGCAACCCGTCGTGTAAGTTTGATCGAACATTAACCTTTCATAATTTCCAGTTGACGTGTTTATTTGAATTTTGGCCAGCAACAGATTTTTAGTTGGGAGCTCTTTTGAAACGGCTTATTGCAACGTAGACAAAAAAAACGTAAAAGCTACAGTTATTGAATTAATCTCTCTTTTATCCTATTTACCCCATTTCTCACTGATACATATGATACTTGCACACGAAGGGGAAGCAAATTCGACGAAAAACAGAGACAACAGTTCAACTGTTAAGTGCAGTTATGCTTTACCCTTCAGAGATATCCGCGGTCAAATTCAGACACGCCCCCTTTTCGAGATTCAGCATCCCGTGACAAACGCATTCATTAAATGGTTCAAGACTTGCTCTGTTATCAAACGATGTTTTGCGCATGCAGATATATTTGGTATAAGGGATTTCTATGACAGATAACTGTTTTTTGTTCTTGGTATAATTATTCTGTTATGATATTGTGATGGAGCCCTTCGTCTTACCAACAAGTCTTAACCTGCCTTATTAATCCGTTTATAAGTATATTTTTCGCTGCTACTTTGAACAATGAATTTGGACTTAAAAAAAGGGCCTTGAAATATTAGTATTCCTTTGCAGGTGGCTGTAGAATAATCCTCAAAAATATTACAAAAATTTGCTCGTATTCTCACGGAAGCAAACAAAAATCAGTTTTGCAACAACTTTTACAGAGGGGATCTCGCTCCAGAGTCTGAAATACCTTACAGCGGTTTTTCCAACTAAATAATAAATAGACAAACGGCTGAGTAATCTACAAATTGTATCACCCAGTGAATCACTCGGAAATGTGTATCATGCTGCTACGTGATGTTATTGCCCTCTGGGTCAGAATCAAACACTTAGAGAAGAACAATTTGCGTCGGTGATATGGTTTTGTTTTTCATACACATGATACTTTGCTTAAGTAGGAAGCTATTTTGGCCAAAAACAACACTGATTTCAGTACTGAATTATAAATCACACTTCACTGATACAGATCACAGTTATTCGGTGGAAAGTAAGTCTTTGAGGATGACTTGTTCAACGATGTTGATGCAGACTGTTCTCATCTTTGGAAGCTTATTATCAGCTGTGAGAGGTAAGACTTCGTGTACAACTCATCCCATCACGATCAAGTAGGAAAAGAACAACTGCACATGGACGAAATTAAGATTGAACTAGACACAGAAATTCATGGTATTCTCCAAAAAACTACGGCTTTAAATGTGATAAGTCTGAGTTTGAGTTATCACTTTCCTTTTCAGTCCTCATTTAGGGCTGTTAAGACAGATATCACAGCCTATCTCTAATAATTTCATCTTTCATAGTGTTATTGCTCTCTATTTCTGTAGGACCTATAAATGAATATATCAGAGCAATTCGAGAGAGAAAAAAATGTTTCCTATACAGTCTTTTATGATCACCATTTCTGTTCGTCAAACCTTCTCTAAGTTTCAATTTTCCTTTGACTGAGGCCGAACTGCTTTAATTGTTATTTTGGGCTGGATCCCTATCCGTTAATTAGAGAAAGCGCAAGTTTTAACATTCATAGCAATCTTTTTGTTCAAATTAAAAAATTAAATCTCTTGGGTAGGAGATTTTAAGAAATAATAGCATAAAAATAACAATTAATAAAAGGGATGTCAAGTGATTTCGTCACATCTGCCTTAAGCTTAAACAAAAAGAAATGCCAGTCACGTGGCAGGTATTAGCTCTCACGAAGAAGTTGAATTTTCTGATCCGTCAAGTCGTGAAGAATGTCATGTTTGACTCTTTGGTTTCTGTCGGACTGAATTCTTACGAAACACCAAAATACACGCTTAATATGGAAAATGAAAGCTCTTCAGTTGTATCTTCCTCGAGAAAAAGTTACCACCTTCGCATGGATACGCACGTCATAAAAGTTCTGTTTTCATGCTAGTATCGCAGTTTTTTCTCGATGGTTACCGTTGGGTCTGCAAAACTTCAGAGCTGGAATGCCTTGACTTTGTCACCAAATCTTCCTCACTGGTTTTTCTCTGATCTATTCATGGAAAAAAGAGCAAAATCACCGAGTATTTGTAGAAACAAACATGCTCTAGTAATAGAGTAACCAGAATGATAAATTCCACACTTGCGCTGTATGAAGAATATCAGCTTGTAAAAGAAATCCGTCCTAGTTCACCTGATAAAGTCAAAACGTTAAACTGAAACAATTAACAAATCTGACTACAAATTCTAGTTGTCACTGACAACTAGAACTGGAATTTACCTGCATTGTATGCTGGATAAGCTTACTCTAGAAAATTATTTCTCTCCTTATTAAGGAAACTAGTCACATAAGTGTGGTACATAAAAGCGATTTCGGCTCTACTTGAATAATGTCTGAAAACCAAAGGCAAACTGACTGCAGTGGTCACGTAAAACGAAGGTTGACATTAACATTGGTCAGTGATAACTCAAACTAAAAACAGTTACTGCTTGAAAAGCGGGGAAAACAAGAGGGACCAAATCGAGATTGATTTCAGTTTTGAATCTGACCGTTTGACAAAGTGACGCGAGAGTGCAAAACCAGAACTAACCCCAATTAATTACATCATTTAATTGGAAATTGGTCTGCGTTCAAATAGTTCTGTGCTGAAGGTGCATTTTAACATGTTCGTCACATCAGTAGCTTTTAGATGCGTTGTTTGTTTTATCTGAACTTTTAGGCCTAGTTGCAATGCCCAATATAAGAAAAATATTTTCCTTTTATCTCCGCTGTACGCTAAATGACCCTTTTAATAAAGATGCTTCTCCTTACTTGTAGGCATCTCCCTCCAAACTGGCAGGCTTAACATTTCTCAGACTCTGCAGGGCTGGAGCTGTAGCAGTGCTTGTTCACCCTCTCAACACTGTCGACTGCCTCGTTGTACAAACGTTGTATTTCCCAAAACATTCAGTGGATCCGGAACGGTAAGTACTAGTTCAGGATCCGGAGCATTTCGTGGCGCCATCCAACATCACCAGGCGGTAATGGAAGGTCTACGGTCGAACAACAGATGTCTTTCCATTCGATCAAATTCATTTTTGATCGATCTTTGGATCGACTCGATTTTATTTTGCACTTCTCCCCACGTGAAATACGTTTCTTGTTTTATCTATGTTCTCCACTTCCATATCTCCAACTTCAAATGCCACGAATTAGGAAGGGGGATCAAAAGACAAATTAGGCACAATTCACAATGAAGCCCCGGAAATTGAAAAGTCCAGACACCTCTCACAAGTTCCAGAAATTAGCACCTAAGAAATAATATTCATCTTTCCTTGTAAGCAATAGACAAGCAACTCTGTCACGTGATAGGTATTAGCAACTATTAATCCAATATGCAGTGAAACAGAAACTAAACAGTTCTGCGAGAAGGAAAGGTTAAATCCTTCAACTAAGTATTTTCCGACCTGATCAAACAATAAGTAGCATTAATGGGCTATGGAACAGCAAGATGCGTCGATCGTTTGAAAATATTAAGTTGTTTTGCTAGAAATGCGTGTACAGATTTTTCCTATTAAGTTAGCATAATCCCTTGTGCGTCCTGGCTTCAAAATTACAGGTTAACATCTATGTGACGGTGAGCCATGGTGAGAAGTTTTCACGTGTCCATTCACCCTCGGCTATGTGGGTTCAGTCCGTCACTACACGTGACTTTGATGTGTGTGCACGTGAGTCAGGTATTGGATCAAATGGTACAGGAATCATCAACTGGTTGGCTTTCCAAGATTATCCACAAATGACGCGTGGTAGTGTTTCGTTTAGTGGAATATGGACAACGGAAACTAAGTGTGAAAAAGTTACCTTCTCACAGGTTAGAAGAAAAGCAAAACCAAAGTTTGAGGTCAAATCCTCGGAGTATGTTCTACCCCAATAAAAAAGACTTTAGACCAACTTGCGGAGTGAAGCCTGTCCACTTCATGTCGGACAGATTTTTGCGGTCATTCAGACAGGCAATTCAATATTCAGAAATCTTGTCGGTGAGTTGCAAAGTCCAAACTCTGCAAGGCAAAAAAAGAGAGGAGTTGGGAGAGACTTCAAGCTTCTCCCTCTCAACTATCCGATACATATCTTCATCTTAAAGCCATTATGCAATGTCAAGCCGTATGATTTTTATTAAAGCTGAGGTAAATTGACTCCACAGATATAAATTCATATATTTAACAACATTGCAGAATTTTCCCGGAAGACCATCTGTGTTTGCGTCAGCTAGGTACACACGTGACACAAAGCCGAATGACGCTATGTATGTTTGGTTGGAAAATGTAAATTCTAAAAGTTTCGAGGTGTGCATCCGGGAGTTCCTGCCCTTCGATGGAAAACATCAAGACACTATCGTGGTAAGAGATATCTCTACTGTTATACCTCTACTGTTATATCTCTACTGAACTTTAATATATCTCTACTGTATTTTCATGGGTGAACCTGTAAGCCAACTTTTCTGTTTTCTGTTTTTTTTTTGTCCAATAGCCTTGTCGTCGTCTGACGACAGGTCTTGCTTTGCATTACTTTATTGCAGGACTGGTTTGCATTTGTTGCCAATGGCTCTGAATCTAATTTTACGCTGTCAGGAGAAGCAGATTTTCCAAACAGCAACCTGCCAACAGCTGAGGACAATTATGGTTTCTGTCAAGTGAGTGTAATTTAGTCTAGCCAACTGTTAACTATTCATGAGGAGCTATTTTAAGGCAGAAAAATTATTGAACGGGTTGGTTTGCAAAACAGAGGTAGTATTATGCGTATTGTTTCACATATCAATGTTTTATCTCTTTTTATTTTTATAGCAAGTGCAGTTTAACACAACCTTTTATGCTTCACCTGTTGTCCTTGTGTCCGTGCATCATCTGTACAACCCTCAAGTCAGCATGAAAAGCCTCGTCTCACCGAACAATAACATCATATCAGCCTGGGTTGAGGTAAATAAACAGTCTATTTCTATTTCGCTCATATAAAGGGCTAACGATCGAAACGTCAGGCTAAAAACTCTTTACGGTGGCCAATATATATTATAAAATCAGTTGATAAAACCAAATTATCCAATCTACTTCTACGATTATTATTCTATTTTTGCTTCACCTTGTGCTCTTTGGTCTCGGTGTAGGAAGTTAGCCTTACATCCATGAGGATTTGCGTCAAAGACTTGAGTGGAACAGGAAGCAAACACGACCCTCTGTCGGTTAACTACGTCGTAGTCGGAGGTTTGGATTCAACTTCGATATGTTGGTGCAACGTACTTTGGAATTTCTCTTTAATTGTGTGGTAACTCCCATTTTGCTTCGCATCCACAGACCTCAATCCCTGTCTAGACGTGTTCTGCCCATCATTCGGAGTCTGCAAAACTTACAGTGCCCATGAAGCTCGCTGTGTTTGTGATGACAACTGCCCGTCGTATCAAGATCCTGTCTGCACGGAAAATGGAACAACATATGACAATGAATGCCTGTACAAATTGAACTTCTGCAAGGGAATGGATAATAATACCTTGTATCATCCTGGCAGCTGTGAGGGTAAGGCCATATTTCTATGAGAATGAGCCTTATACCGCTAACAAGGTAATTTGGTATTATCAACTGAGTTGATGGCGTAAATTGGCCACTGTTAATAGTTTCAAAGCTGACGTTTCGAGCTGACGGTGGGCTAACGCTCGAAACGTCAGCTTTGAGACTCTTAAAGGTGGTCAATTTAAGTTATCAACTCAGTTGGTAACACCAAATTACCCTGTTATACTCTACCACCGACGCAGCAC